TTGATGTAGTTGCCTCATTTTGGTCGAGATTATGAAATGATCCTATTCCTTGCAATAAAGCAATTAAAACTGTCAAAAACAAAAGATGAGTAAAGCTCTATTATCTAAGTAAACTTACGTTTTTCTAATGATAAAGTCATTAGGCCTATAAAAGGTAAATTACATCGCTATGGTTACACTTAACATACTTTGACCATCATGATAAAAAACAAAAGATTCTCACAATATTTCACTTTCTAAATAAGGTTGCTAAACCATATTTGGATATTTTATTGAATGTTATTCAGTGCAACCATATTTCCTATGATTTGTTTGTTTCCAAAAAAGATAAATATCCTTATATTACATACCCAAAAATGAGGCTAAAAATGGAAGTGTACTAATATGAAATAATCTGGCAGACTTATCAAAAGAAAATTTTTTGCTTGAAGAATATTTTACAACACATTTGGCGATCCTGTTGTTTAATAAGAATACATGGTCTCTGTAAGGATAATATCTTAAGACAATATGCTAAAAAAGTGCAGGGTGTGAATCACACCCAGCTACTCCATTGATACATATAGGAATGTTTTAGCACCCCATCAACAAAGTAGGGATACTAATAGTAGTACTAGAACAATTTAATTTTTGCTGGATTTGTCAAGGAAAACTGCACAATGTCTGCTTGAACCACATTTTTAGATCTTTTTCCTACCACCTAATTTCATGTCTGATGTGATCCATCTTGTAACACTGCTCAACATTTCTATATTATTTTATTAATTTATCAAGTGAAATTTATAAAATTTTCTATGTTATATAAAGCAATTATCAAGGATTTATTTTTGTTCCACATTGTCTTTAAACTACTTTTATTATGTACAATTAATTGTTCATACGATCAACTTAATATTTTTCAATATGCAGCCTAAAGAACATTATAAGAGAACATTAAATTATAGCATTTTACTTAGAAATCTAATCTGTAGTCCAGGAAAATTCTTTCATGGTGTTTAGATGCTTTATTGTTTCTAGAATGTAAAATATTGCCTTTAAGTTTATAATGCATTTAAATTTTTTAATTTCATTCTTCACATTTATGATGTCTTAGTGTTTGTGATAATTCATGATGTCCTAGCGTTTGTGATAATGTATAATGCCTTAATATTTGTGATAATGTTTAATACCATAGTGTTTGTATTTCAGGATGCATTGGTTAATATATTGTTTAAGTAGGACATCATATAATAAAATATTATGTACTAATATATTAATTAGATATCAGAAGTCAATGCACAGCTATGCTAAGTGTATACTGTATCATTAGTAATTTTTTCCATATTTTCATATGCTAAATTACCCTATATTCATAATCGTGTAATTATGATATGTGAGAATAGATGACATTTTCATAATACATGTACAGAGATAAAGATTTTGTACTGTAAATTTTTTTTATGTTAGGTAGAAAGTTATCTTATTTGCAGAGCAGAGCAAATATTAAATTACAATCTCATAATGTTAACATTTTATTCATTTGTGGTTTTATCATTTCATATGTTCATTGAATTAGGTATGTGGCATAGACCTGTGTCTGTTGTGTATTGTATGCTTTCCATTTATAAGATACGATCACACAGTCAGGTTGTGGCATAGACCTGTCTTTTATGTAGTGTATGCCAACCATTCATAAGATGTGACTATACAGTCAGGTATGTGGCATGGAACTGTGTCAACTATGTGGTATATGCCATCCATTCATAAGATACGACTATACAATCAAGTATATGGCTTGGACCTGTGTGTTATGTAGTGTATGCCATCCATCATAAGATATGACTATACAGTCAGGTATGTGGCATGGAACTGTGTCAATTATGTGGTATATGCCATCCATTCATAAGATACAACTATGCAGTCAAGTATATGGCTTGGACCTGTGTGTTATGTAGTGTATGCCACCCATCATAAGATATGACTATACAGTCAAGTATGTGGCATGGAACTGTGTCTGTTATGTGGTATATACCATCCATTCATAAGATATGACTATACAGTCAAGTATATGGCATGGAACTGTGTCTGTTATGTGGTATATACCATCCATTCATAAGATATGACTATACAGTCAAGTATATGGCATGGAACTGTGTCTGTTATGTGGTATATACCATCCATTCATAAGATATGACTATACAGTCAAGTATGTGGCTTGGACCTGCGTGTTATGTGGTGTATGCCATCCATTCATAAGATATGACTATACTGTCAGGTATGTGGCTTGGACCGGTGTGTTATGTAGTGTATGCCATCCATTCATAAGATATGTGGCATGTACTTATGTCTGTTTTGTGGTGTATGCCATCCATTCACAAGATATGACCATACTGTTAGGTATGAATCATGTAGTCTGCCACTTCAGTATAATTACTAAAATGACAAAACTTGCCAAGTTGAATATGACCAGCTATGACAGGAACTGTAGAATCAGTGCTAATCTGCCAGCAGATAAATTTGCCATTACTAGTATTGGTAATGGCCTTAAAGGAGCTGCAAAACAAAAACTGTTCAAAATAATTTGACCAAATATGAGTGGAAGCTTCCTGGCATAAAGGTATTAGTATTTTGATATAAAGGCATTTTTATATAAATAATTCTTATCTGCCATAAAGGATGGCCCTTGTAACACAAAATAGAAAAACCTTTAAGGAACTTTGTTGTATATCTTGAAGAGAATTTGACCAGATGTGAAAAGAAGCATCCTGGCTTGATGGCCTATCAAATTAATACAAACTAGAAAAATCTCCTATTTTGATTAGTTGTTCTGAACCCCACCCTTGCATTTTAGAAAACCTGATTCCTTTTCTTGAAATTCACTGAATTTTAAAAAAATCTCTTTTAATACTTTACTAAGTTTAAAATATTTTGGAGGAAAATCAAAAGATAATGGACTTGAATTTATCACTACTTAATTGAACATTTGTATTATTTAGGTTTTAATAAAAATAAAACAACAAATGCAACAAAATTAGGTGGATCAATTGAAGCATGACATGTATTGCTACTAATTGGAGTAAACTACCTTAAAATGATTACATTTTTTTTCTTTGTACCTATTTATGCATTGATAAAGTAACATAGTGAAAGTTAAAGTTTGGTTACAAAAAAAATCCTTTAAACTTGTTAAAATCTTTTAAAATGATCAAGAAAAAATTGCAAAACTATGGGGTTCACTATCAGGTATGGCCATTATTATAACTCTATCTTCATAAAAATACTGCTCAGTGGAATTTTACCAACTTAAAAAGAGATAAAATGCTGGAATGAAGACCATTGAATATTAAACATGCTGATGTGCCATTAGCAATTGATGAAGATACAAAAATATATAAACCTTGAATTCAGAATTTTTTTACATATGCAATCAACAGCATTGAAAGAAATTTCTTCAAAAGCATCCAACATTTATTTTAAAGATTTCCTCTATTGTCTCACATGCCCAGAATTGTGTCAAGGTGAGTCAGACTGCATGCATGTATAACACATTTTTGATTATCTTTTGGTGAACTTTTTAGAATATGGTTACAACTAGGTTGCCATTTTCAACTTTGATATACATGCCTGTAAATGATATATTTAATCACTGAAGGTGTTCTTCCATTATGGGCTGTTCTATTTAAAAATGTTGGGGAGACAGGGAAGGCATTTTTTTTAAAACAAATTTATGCCAGGGTACTCAGATAAATCATTTTGTTAATATGAAAAACCAATACAAAATACTAAATTGTATCTATGTGTGTCCACTCCACATTAAAGTTGCTTTTCTTTGGTCCCAGACTCCCATGTTTTAATGGAACAATCCTAAGCCAATTACTGTGTATTAACAGTGTGCTTTTTCTTTTCAGTATTACTCATTTTGCTTACAGGTAGCAAACATTTCTCTTTTTTTTATAATGAATTGATAACAATTGTAGCCCTTTGTTTTTTGTATAAATATGCTTGCAGCATCAAAGATCAGTTATAATGTAAAGGTTTTTGTTAAGTGCAATATCAATAAAACTTATAATCAACTTTTCTTTTCACTTGTGTTGCATATCAGTAATTAAAATGATAGAAATAAATAATGACATTATAAAGACCATAATGGTTAGAGAATGGTAATGTATAGACCACTCTGATGATGTAGATATAGTAGTATGGAAAGGTACAGACCATAATAGTCTGGTAGTGACCATATACAGTCATAATGTAGAATATTATTGTATAGACCATAATAATAAGGTCGAGACCATACATATATAAAGTAAAATGGTAATGTATAGACCATAATAGTCCAGGAGACCATAATAGGTAACCATTATAAGTAAAATCATTTTCTTCTTAGAAATCCGAATTGTTTCCCTTTAAATAGCTAACAAAATATTTCAAGACTAAGAGCTAAATGTGAAAAGTGTGTATTATTTTATATACAAACCATTATTACCTGAGATGAGACAGTATGACATACCTGGGAGAGGTAATAATGTCTTCAAGCCAAAAGTTACAATGTATGAACCATAATGGCTAGGCAGAACCATGTGTACCAATAAATTAGAAAGAGAATGCATATACAATGGCATTCAGATAGTGACCATTTAAAATGTTTTATTGGACACAACAACACATAAAAAAATAGTTTTTATAAGCCACCAAATCTGAAATGTGTTTTGAACTTGAGACCCACCACACCATACAAAAAGTAGTGCTGTACAGCCAACAAATTTGAAATATTTTTATCTTGTGGAGTTTAACAACACTGTAACAAAAACAGTATGCAATAATCAAATCTGAAATGATTTCAGTACTAGGAAATCCACACCAACAATCGTTTGTCAATCATGTGAGAAATGTTTTCTACTCTTCAAGACTTGCACCATAGTACCCAAGATGTGTCCAAAATTTAATGTATCCCATGTTCTGTTGTGCTCATGTCAGTCATTTTGTATGTTTGTGGAATTTGAACTCATACAGTGTGAACTGCTCTGGTGGCCTAGTGGTTAGAGCGTGCACCTAAGATGCGGGAAGTCATGGGTTCGATCCCCGGTCAAGTCATACCAAAATGGTACTAACAGCCGCCTCGCTTGACACTCAGCATTAAGAGGTTAGTGTTAGGACTGGTCGGCTTGGTACAAGGATAATGTGACTGGGTGGCACATCATACTACATGTCTGCAGCATGATGCCCCAGTGCTAGACATCACTGTAAACTGCCACACTGCAGACATCCTAGCAGTATGACTGAAAAATTGTTAAAGCTGTGTTAAAAATCATAATCACATAACATCACATGCATTGTGTGAGTGATCTGTAAAGACAGGTACATTAAACGACTCAGAGCCACTCCAAACTATTTGCCTTACAAAGATTTCTTGCTAATATTGCTTAAAACAACATAATGAAGTCACTGTTCATCCACCATGTGGAATGTGAACTGAATAAAGTCAAAGTGAAGATATCACTTGGTAACACTGATTAGAATCCGTGATTCCAAATTAGGAATTTCAGTACAGCTTTGTAATGACAAAATATAAGTGAAACTGTTGTGTGAAACCGTTGGTCCTATTCAGGTCAACTTGGCCTTTCACCATCTTGGAAATCAAATTCTTTGAAGCAGTAAAGTTTGGTATTCATCTTTTCAGTAGAAATCAATTTATAATGAGAAGTCTCTTGATTATCTGTCTTGTAGTGATCTTAACATTTAACTTTTGGACCTAAAAAGTCATAAAAGTGCTTCGTACAGGATGTCGATCCAGTTTTCAGTTAAACAATTATAGGAATATAGGAATTTTTTGTGTAAATACAGAATAAATATATGATATTTCTTAAGTATATTAAGCAATAATTAAAAGAATTATTAATAAGGATTCAGGATTGGAATTTTAATACAATCAGGAAAGACAATTTGAATACTACACTACATAAAAAGTCACCCACCAAATAAAAATTTGTGCATCAAGGTCAACTCATCTGTAAAGTTCAAGGAAAGCATGTAAATTCTTAAGTTAATCTGCAAGGGATAAAGAGTTGATGAATAGACAAAGTCACCTTGCCTACTTCAAAATCCTTTTATAATAACTGTACACGCATACCTAATCTGTTTCTCACGGTCTTGCAAATAATTGAGCTGCTGGAAGTTGTTCCCTTTTTTATTTTGCCTGGTTGCATGCATAAATACAACCATAAAATAAAAGCTGGTCATTAAAATTACCATCTCAAAAGCTTTTCTTGCCCCATACTGTTCATCACTTTAAATTCATAGGTATCAAGTTTTGTGGCTTGCTTCAAAAATATTTATGGGTGCTTCATTTTGTGGATTTGTCATTGAAAAATAAAGTAACAAAATATTGAGAAAATCTTTGCTTGATATTTTCTTTTTCCTGAGCTTTAAATGCATTTTTTAAAATTTCTGAAATGTTCCAAAATTTCATTGGACTGCATAAATTTGTAATAAGTATTAATTGTTGCACCCCCTATCATCTCTGTGATTGACAAGTCTGAAGCAATCTTGCGTATCCAACAGCAACTAATGGTGGCAGGTCATGCTGTGATTAGCATATCAGACTTGCATCTGAAAGTGAAGTGTGCTGGTTCAAATCATAGAAACAAATTAACTGTTGTGCATATCTAATAGGGTAACTAATGGTGGCATTAAAAATGCCCATACACCCATTTAGACTAAGATGTTAATCCCTACTGATGTAGAGTATGTAATTGGTATATCCAATTAAGCTCTATTTCTTAAAAGTAGTGCTACTTGAGAACAGATCGATTCTACATCATTGTCCTTTAACTAATGGTGGCAGGTCCAGATTTGATTAGCATGCCAGACTGCATCTGAAAGTGATGTGTGCTAGTTCAAATATTGTTCACAAATTACCCCAGCTTAGCTACTGTTGTGTGTCCTTTGGCAGTGTCCTTAATTCCAGTTACATCAGTACTAATAAACTACTTGTGTTACTGTGATATAATATGCCAAAACAAATCAAACTATTAATTACTATACATTAAAAAACTTAATGAGTATTATTATAAATGGACATATGTACTTTAGAAAGTAGAGAAAGACACAAACTATCAGTAATTTTGATTTATTACTAAAGCATCTTTTAGTCATGACATTTCTACAAAACAATTATGTTCATAAAATTTTACAAGCAAATTATGATCAATTTTCATTTTTCACCTTTATATAAATATATCCTGATATATATGTCTCAACATTATAAACAGCCTTGGTAATAAAAAAAAAACTTGTATTTCCTACAAACACAGAATGAAATGATTGTGGGAATGGGGATGGCTTGATTCATATTTTTGTTGCAACTTTAAATTCAAGGTCTAGTTTACCCATAAAAACCACGAGAGTTGGTATCCAATGAGCAATATGTCATATTAATCACCTTCTATCACTGCACTTATTAGACTTAGTTTAAAAACAAAACTAGCTTGGCTCCAATTAAGGGTAAGGATAATTACATAGAGAAAAAAAATGGGCAAGCACATTTCTAATTGCAAGTTTGTGGGATTTAATGTTGGGGGATAAGAAGATTATCAGAGCAGAGAGGTAAATATTGGGGGATAATGATGTCACTGCATAGATTAATATATTGGTAAATATTGGGGGATAAGGATGACATTGCAGAGATTAATTAAATGGTAAATATTGGTGGATAAGGATGTCACTGCAGAGATTAATTAAACTGTAAATGTTGGGGGATAAGAAGGTTATCAGAGTAGAGAGGTAAATATTGGGGGATAGGATGTAACAGCAGAGATTAATTAAATGGTAAATACATGTATTGGGGATAAGGATGTCACTGCAGAGATAAATGGTAAATATTGGTGGATAAAGATGTCACTGCAGAGATAAATGGTAAATATTGGTTGATAAAGATGTCACTGCAGACATTAATTAAATGGTAAATATTGGGGGATACGGATATCACTTCAAAGATTCATTAAATGGTAAATATCGGTGGATAAAGATGTCACTGCTGAGATTAATTAAATGGTAAATATTGGGGGATAAAGATGTCACTGCAGAGATAAATGGTAAATATTGGTGGATAAAGATGTCACTGCAGAGATTAATTAAATGGTAAATATTGGGGGATAAGGATATCACTGCAGAGATTCATTAAATGGTAAATATCGGTGGATAAAGATGTCACTGCTGAGATTAATTAAATGGTAAATATTGGGGGATATGGATGTCACTGCAGAGATAAATGGTAAATATTGGTGGATAAAGATGTCACTGCAGAGATTAATTAAATGGTAAATATTGGGGGATAAGGACATCACTGCAGAGATTCATTAAATGGTAAATATCGGTGGATAAAGATGTCATTGCAGAGATAAATGGTAAATATTGGTGGATAAAGATGTCACTGCAGAGATTAATTAAATGGTAAATATTGGGGAATAAGGATATCACTGCAGAGATTCATTAAATGGTAAATATTGGTGGATAAAGATGTCACTGCTGAGATTAATTAAATGGTAAATATTGGGGGATAAAGATGTCACTGCAGAGATAAATGGTAAATATTGGTGGATAAAGATGTCACTGCAGAGATTAATTAAATGGTAAATATTAGGGGATAAGGATATCACTGCAGAGATTCATTAAATGGTAAATATCAGTGGATAAAGATGTCACTGCTGAGATTAATTAAATGGTAAATATTGGGGGATAAGGATGTCACTGCAGAGATAAATGGTAAATATTGGGGATAAGAATGTCACTGCAGAGATTAACTAAACCGTAAATGTTGGGGGATAAGAAGGTTATCAGAGCAGAGAGGTAAATATTGGGGGATAGGATGTCACTGCATAGATTAATTAAATGGTAAATGTTGGTGGATAAGGATGTCACTGCAGAGATTAATTAAATGGTAAATGTTGGTGGATAAGGATGTCACTGCAGAGATTAATTAAATGGTAAATATTGGGGGATAAGGATGTCACTGCAGAGATTAATTAAATGGTAAATGTTGGTGGATAAGGATGTCACTGCAGAGATTAATTAAATGGTAAATGTTGGGGGATAAGGATGTCACTGCAGAGATTAATTAAATGGTAAATGTTGGTGGATAAGGATGTCACTGCAGAGATTAATTAAATGGTAAATATTGGGGGATAAGGATGTAACTGCTGAGATTAATTAAAAGGTAAATATTGGGGGATAAGGGTGTCACTGCAGAGATTAATTAAATGGTAAATGTTAGTGGATAAGGATGTCACTGCAGAGATTAATTAAACGGTAAATATTGGGGGATAAGGGTGTCACTGCAGAGATTAATTAAATGGTAAATGTTAGTGGATAAGGATGTCACTGCAGAGATTAATTAAATGGTAAATGTTGGTGGATAAGGATGTCACTGCAGAGATTAATTAAATGGTAAATATTGGGGGATAAGGATGTCACTACAGAGATTAATTAAATGGTAAATATTGGGGGATAAGGATGTCACTGCAGAGATTAATTAAATGGTAAACGTTGGGGGATGAGGGTGTCATCACAGAAGAGAGGTAAATGTTGAGGGATAGGGATATCGACACAGCAGAAAGATAAAATGTTGGGAGATAAGGATGTTGTCACAAGAGAGATTAATTAATTAAATGGTAAACGTTGGGGGATGAGGGTGTCATCACAGAAGAGAGGTAAATGTAGAGTGATAGGGATTTCGACACAGCAGAAAGATAAAATGTTGGGAGATAAGGATGTTGTCAAAACAGAATTATTAATTAAATGGTAAATGTTGGAGGATGAGGGTATCATCACAGCAGAGACTGGTTAAATAAAAGGTAAATGTTGGGGAATAAGGATGTCATCACAGCAGAGAGGTAAATGTTGGGGGATGAAGTGGATGCCTTGTATACAATTAAACAAAGCAATAAATTTTCAAATAAGCAATATTTAAATTACCATGACATTGCATGTAATCATGCACATCCCTCATATACAGAATACAAAGGTGCTTCTTTTTAAACATTTAAATTTAATGCACACAAAAATCATTAAAGCACAAAAGTTTTAATTCAGACTTC